ACTGATATTATAAGACTGAAAATGTTATTAAAATCTAGAAATTAAGGGACATTCTTTTAGTTTTAAATATTTTTTATGTGAGAACCTTCAACGAGTGTTTGTAAATTAGGTGTATGATAAGCTAATAACTTTTTGAGTCAACCGTTGCTTCAATTTCTATCAGCAATTTTTACACAGCAAGTGGATCGTTTCGAGTGTGTTTCTCTCTAAAACTTTTGAGATCCTTATTTCTTGATTCTTAGGCCTCTTCTGACAATTGACCCATAGATAGAATAACTTCTTTTATTATTATAGCTTCATAAAGTAATATTTTATGTACGCTAGCGGACATATGATACGACGGATATTTAACGACATACAATTTTGCGGTTTCCAAATCATATTCCTCAAACGCTCTCACATCGATTGCACAACCACAAGATAAGATGCGTAATATCACACCAAATCGCGCAATAACTTCTTCATCTATGCCCGTAATTTCACTGGAAAGTGATGGGTTAGCAAAAAAATCGTCGAGCCGTGTTGCCGTCATTAATGGTTTCGCTACCTCCACTCTTAGGTATATCCACGAGCAATCCTATTCTATCTCTGAAGTTCTGCTGTATGGTACGTGTCTTGTTTTCGAGAACTGCTTTCTTTTCGGTCCCTCGAATTTGCAAACTTAAGTTCTAATCTGTACGAAATATGCAGCAAACATTCAAAAAACCTGATCCAGCCATGTAGACTTGATAATCCAAATTTCAAATTTTCACGGGCAACTGTTTTTTTGTAATACTTTTTTGATGACATTCATATCTTTGTGAGTTTGCTTTACATATATGGCATGTTTGTGAAGAAGCTGTTTCCGTAATTGCATTACATACTTTGCCGTTTATCATGGTTATCACACAAACATGAGAAACTGCAATTTCTTCATTACCTAACATATCAGTAGTCGGTCAAAGTTCCGAAATTTGATTTTCTATGTATGCTGTCTCCTATACCGTCAATTCTTTCATTTCTTCCTGGAATTGGAAGCGTACAGGTCTACAAAATCGAGTTGATGATGGACGGGGATTTTGCCACACAATCATTTTATCTTTCCTAGGTTGCTCCGCATGCAGTTGGAATGGCACTACGGACGTTAGAAACAAATCGCCATCACTAAGACCAACCTCGGCAAACATTTGTTTGTATTGTGAGTGACCTGTGCTTCCATCACTTCCCCATTTTATCAACAATTTCAAATTCATCAGAAGATCACTTGATAATGAAAGAAGAACCGGTTTCTGCAATTCTAATACCTATCCATTTTACTGTATGATCCAAGAGCTCTTGTAATAAAATTGCAGATGATTCGGTTACAATTTGCCATTCTTTTCGGGGATAGCAACGTAATTTTGCTTCCCGGAGCTTGTGATAGGAGGGATAGATATTGGCAAGTTGTTCTTCTGCTATCCGTCTATGAACAAAATAGGAGTGTTTGCTATCATTCGCTTCAATCATTACTGACAGGGCTTAGTCTAGGGTAAGTGGAATTATTTCTTTTGACTTCTGACTCTTTTGCCAAGCTTTCCTCATTTTACTGGTTCGATTGGGAGTGGTCAAAATTACTTCTGAGACAAGTTTTGCAGCAACCTCTTTTCCTTCGTTCGTAAGTTCTTTGCCTACAGACGAAGCTAGCTCCTCGCTTTCGAACGTCGATGACAGTGTTGCAGTCTTTCGACGTTTGGTTCTTTCACTGCTCGCAGAAAATTCTAAAGCTGGACGACCACGGGCACAGCTCCTTTCACCCCCAGTTGAGGTTCCTGGTTGTGCTCAGCATCCCGATCAATCTCTTCTTGGGTTTGTTCAAATACAAATTGAACACTTAATCACTCCTTATTTATCTCCAAAATTCTATTGGTTTTCTTGCGCATTAATCAAGCATCGATTAAACGGCGCTGCAAAACTCTGAATTGATATTCTTCAATTTTAACATAGCGTCTTCATCACTCTCGATTTTATAGTGTCCCACCAAATAATTGAATAGATACTCCGTTCGATTTGAACGACCTAAACCATCCTTTTCATACAAGACGTCAAAAAGTTGCCTTCTGGTCACCATTTTCACTCTTAAAAAAATTTATACCACTACAGAAGAGAATAAAAGTAAATCTGAAGACAAAACATTAGTTATAGGCTAACTTGATTTTCTGTCAAGTCAAATCAAATATCGCAAAAATGGGATAGAAATCAGTAGATTTTACATCTTAAATTATAAAATAAAATGTGCAGTTATGGATTCAAAATGCATGCGTCCGTTACGGTTAGTGCATATTCATGAACAAGACCTAAGCGAAATCGAAATATTTTAAAAAGGCACTTGAACGCGCCTATCAAATTTTAGTATGTTATTAGGGAATGTTCAAACTATCTTTTAGTTATTTAGTTCAACCGGATCTGGCCTGGAAATTATGGCTCAACATAAATTTAAATTATAACATAAAATCTTTAATAAAATCAACTACAAACTTATTTTATCTATAGACTCATTAAAGTTTGTCTCATATGTATATATAACATAAAAATACATACTTTGAGGAAGTTTTCTGTATAATTTTGATTCAAACGCTTTATAACACAATCACTGGTTGAGAGTTGGGAATATAATGAACGAACGATTGTACCTGTACGGACGCTACAAGAAAGTCTGTGTTTGGGAGCAGGTAGCTGAACGAAAATACCTTCTACCTGCTAGGAATTCCGAGAAAACATGCATTATCTATTTTTCTAAGTACCTGCAAATTCTGTTTACGATGCTATTACTTTCATAAATATCAATTTTTGGCCGCTTTTTGAATTTTCTGGCCCTCTGTGCGACAGTGTAAATTGCAGTACCCTCGACAATTGGGCAATATGTAACGTAAATTGTTTCTTACTAAACCTGCCTCCTACAAAACTGTAAATAACGTTTCATCATCATAGGACACTATTTTCATAACATCTTATAAAATAGTAACACCGTCCATATATCACGAAAAGATAGTAAAAAGGCAAACTGTATGCGTCAGAAGTCTTGAACGGAAAGATCCAAACAAGTACAATCTATTCCAGATTTGTCGAATGTCAAAATGGAAGTTAAATTGAACAAATAAAGACTACAAATATCCACATATTTTTTCCATTTTCGATTGTCGGTTCCATTCATGCCTAAATCAATTTGTATGCAATTTTATAATCCATAGAAGAAAAAATATTTAAAAAAACAAATTATCTTAATCGCACTTAAAATGTACCAGAGCCTGATCTTCATGAAACTTTATTTTTATTGGTATATTATGTTACATCCACCAAGCCGGTTCCACCAAATCATCTACCTCACTGCGTTTGATATCAATAATTTCTTCCCCTTCACTAGGTATCTGTCACTTGTGGCTCTGCCTCGTCTAGATTATGGTGGTAATATTTTATCTAGTGGTCACTTACTGCACTCTAGCCAATTGTAATTGCCCCATGCCTCGGAACAATTTGTATTTTTTGGTCAGCCAGCCGCCAGATACCTTCCTGATAATTACTTCGCTTAAAATGTTATGGCATGCCCCGACAGGGCACAGTGGTCCAAAATCAGAAAGAAGTTGACAAAAATCTGATTAGTGTCTTAAAAGTCAGGAATAACGTACATATCACGAGAAAAATAGTGAAAAAAATAAATAAATCTGGGGTGGGTTTTAAGAGGTGGTTATTTGGCAGTAGCTACTTACACGTGTTTTTCATGCAACCTATTTAAAATGACTCATGAAGTATGACAAAAATAATAAAAAATTATCAAACTCAGGGGTGGTTTTGAAAAATCCACTTTGATATCAACTAACAAGTCTTTGCCTCCAAATTTTGTTGTTACAATGAGAAGTTGAAACACTCTTTTAATTTAGCATCTAACATTATGCTCAATTTTACCAACATGAAACTGAATACCCAGATTTTTCCATTTTTAATAAAAATATCAAATTTATTTTCCGTGTACAATTCATTAGTTATCAATCGATGAAACAAATCTGACCTCTTAAGTCTTGTTAAAATCCGCCACAGTTGACCAATGAGTTTAACCAATGCAATGGCCCAAATAAGTTTGGTTGATCCTACGTGGTGTTTCTGTCCTTACCAATTAAAAATAAAAAAATACTGTTTTATATTTAAAACTGATTGATTAAAATATTTATTTTTTAGCTGTCGGAATCCATGTGTGAACCAGTGCGGAGTAAACGCCAACTGCAATCCCAGGCGTCACATCGCTGTGTGTACCTGCCCTGCCGGATATAATGGCGATGCCCTAATTCAGTGTTACCCCGTCAGAAGTACCGAAGTGACCAGGTACCAGGCACTTACCTGTACAGTTTGTTAAGGGAGGTGGGTTATTCGCCAGAAATATGTACCTACTAATGTACTGCCAAAAGTTTTTCTAATAATAATAATGTACGTGTTATTTAAAAAGTTCGATAATGTGTGTAATACTCAATGTTAATGTTCATTTTTTACAAATAAATTATATATTTTTACAATTTAGTAGTTTTTCATTTCGAGTCTAAGCATATGGTGTACATAACATGTAATTCTTTTCTCTATAACTCAAAATTTTAGTAGTAGAATTTGTTTATATTAAATATACATATAGATACAACCATGAAAGTGCGGACAGAGTCATTGGTATGAGCAATTTACGTTTGACCATTAGCAGCGGAGGGGAATCCACAGTCGCGAATCGATGAGTGTAGTCCAGCACAGTTCATGCGTGACCGTGTTCGTCACTTCGTGGTTTTATTTGTAGACGCATATTAATTAAAAAAATTAAATATCCAGTACCACCAAAATTAAAAAATTATTAAGCAATAACTACTGTTTCTTGTCGTAGTCTATATGTACAAAATTATGGTCTATTATTTATTGTTTCTTGTTGAATAAGAATGAATAAGGTTTAACGTATCTGATTTTCTCTATTACGGAAAAGATAACGTAATATTGAATGACTGAATTGAATTATGTGGCTTCCTGGTCGAGTGGTAAGGACACTTGCCTCTCACCTTGGAATCCCGGGTTCGATCCCCGGTCGAGGAATTAGGATTTTTTTCCAAACCAGAAATTAACCCTAGCATACTCAGACAATGGGTGTCTATTGTCTCTAAATGTGTAGCCCTCTCCCACACAAAGAACCTTGAGGTACCTTCAACGCTAAAAACAATCGATTTTATTCTTTCACTATTTAAAACTGATTAAATAGGAACCAATCAAGAATTATAGGTTATATCATTAACATTATACAATGTATAATGTTAATGATAATTGCGCCCTTATTGAAACATTTTATATATTCAAATGGAAAAAATTATTAACGTAAATAAACAAAGAGCCAAGTTAACCCACATTTCTGTTGATTCAGCACCGGCGGTTCTTCTATAGGGTTATTCGGTCAATGACCTCCCACATACAAATAAAAAAAATAGAGCTATTCATTTTCTGAAGTTTAAAAATATATAATATATATATTTTTAATATTATTCTTAAAAAAATATATTAAAGCTTCTAGTTCATTCTATGCACAATACTATTCAAATATCTAGTTCATTACATTATTCATTTATAGAATTTAAAAATCTTGGGTCAATCCACAACGTGTCCTCAAAGCTAGCTACGGACCGAATTTACAACGAATTAAAGTGAAATAAACTTATGCGCGAATCGTCAGAAAGCAAAAGAGACAGAAAACACTGGCGGGGATAATGTCCCTGACGACCCTGACACGGTAACGCACAAAGTTTAGTAGAGCAGTCGCCACTCGCCAGTCAGCAGTCTTAATGCTGACTACGTACGCGTCGTGAAATTAAGTAAAACAGTGTTTTTGGTGTTTACTATTAAATATGAGTGTTATACAAAATATATTAAAATTGAAAGATGGACATAAGTTGGGTTATGAAGACCGAGTGAAATTCAAAGGTGGTGGCCGTCCAAAACCTAATATGACGATAAAGCAAACATCTCTTGATAAGAAAAAAAGAAGTTAATAGGTATTTTTAATTAAAAAAAGTTATCCCTCAGCAAATTTTATTCATTGTTACGCTCATCAACTAAATTTAATTTTACAAAAAGCATCAAGTCAGGATAAAAGCATAAAATTTTTTTTTGCTAATTTACATAGCTTTTCTTCATTCTTTGGAAAATCGCCAAAAAAGAACAACCGTGTTAGATAATGTTGTTAAGGTGAGATTACCTAAAGCGGCTCCAATACGATGGAATTTTAATACAAACTGCATAGAGACTGTTTATACCTATCGAACAGAATTATTAGATTGTTTAGAAAAAATCACTGTTAATGAATCAGAAAACAACACTCTAAACCAAGCTATTGGTTTAAAAAACTACTTACAAAATGAATATTTTCTTTACTGGTTAAATTTTTTTCATTTAGTTATGCCTCATTGTGATATATTGTTCAATCAATTACAAAAATGTAATATCAATATCATAACAGTAAATTAGTGTATTGGCGTTTTTAATAGTAAAATTGAAGACATCAGAAATAAAATTTTGAATAACTATTTGGAGGAGACATCCATGCAGTCTACCCAGAGATGTAAAACGGAAGAATTAAAAACGATAATTTCATTAGAAGTTTGTGATATAATTACATCTGAGATCAAAAACAGGTTTGGCTTCAGTAATCATTTAGCAGTGTCTCAGTTATTTCACACAGATTGATTTAAAGATTATAAAAAAAGCTTTCCTCAAGATATGTTTAAAATAGTTAAAATGGAGTATCCAGTCATAAATCATTTGAAATTTAAAACTGAATTAGAAGTATAATATAGCCGAGAAGATTTTTCCAATAGTGAAGGTGCAGTTGCTTTGTTACAGCTTTTTATTAACAATAATTTGTGCAATACTTTTTCTGAAAGTGTCAAACTGTTAAAAATCTTGTGTACTCTCCCTATGACTACCGTCGAAAGTGAACATTGTTTTTCCACCTTAAAAAGAATAAAGACATTTTTAAGAAATACCATGGGTCAGGAAAGGTTATCTTCTTTAGCTATGCTTACCATAGAAAGGGCATTAATAAAGAAGATAAAATACTTTAATGAAAAAGTAATTGACCACTTTGCATCTCAAAAAGAGCGGAGGATCGACTTGGAATTTAAATCATTTTAAAAGGTAGGTAATACAGTAAACTTTTCTAATTGACCTCCCTATCTCTTGACCCACGAACCGCCGCCGTTGTGATTCAGTACATAAGGTGCGCAAATAAATTATTTCCATATAAATTGCAAATTGATTAACGACTAGGTGAACATAACTTGTGACAGAAGGATTCAGTTCTGTGAAGAAATGGGTAAAAAAATCAGAGATCACAGAAATTGTTAAAATATATTTGTTTTAACAATGAATCGACGTTTTCCTTCAACTGGTTTGTGAACACACATAATTGTAGGTATTGGGATAATGAAAATCTACGTGTTTCGGGAGGAACATACACAGTTTCACGAGAAGATCACATTGTGGGCTAGTATTCTTGGGGACGAGATAATCGGTCTTATTTTTATTGAATAAAACTTGACTGGGCCACTATATTTAGAATTCTTAGAAAATGCGCTAAACCCACTCATAATCCAGTCGCTAGAAAACCAGATCGATGAAGAAAACATGATGTTCGATGAGCACAACTTGATTTCCAACATGACGCAGATCATCCTCGGTATCCTGTTCCTGTGAGATTGGTTGGATGAAAAACTTCCTAGGAAATTAATTGGAAAGAAAGGAGTTCAAGAATGGCCAGCAAAATCTCCTGATTTAACGTCGCTTGATTTCTTTCTTTGGGGTTATTTAAAAATTCACAAATCCCCGTTAGAAGTTATTTGTGATCTCAAGGTTAGGATAACTCGAGAATGTAGACAGATTTCTGGAGAAATATTTAGAAAAGTCCGGCGCGAACTCGAAAATACGGTTTATTAGTGTAAAAATAACGATTGCATACGTAACTGTAATATTACAATTCATTGATACATGAACTGATTTCAATTTTTTTTGCAGAAGGAGGAGGTGAAACATAAAATTCGATTAAACAGTAATTTCGAACTTCTCCTTCGAAAAATAAATCGACTTTTTTTAGGATATACTATGTTGCAAAGAACGAACCTTATTGATTCACTTATGACAAGTGAGGAGAGAACTGTGACTTATGGTGTACCACAACGCACAGTTCTAGGAGCTGTCCTATTCACCTCATATATTAATTATTTACTTAACTCATCTACAAAGAGAAATATCTCCTATGCAGATGACACTGCTATTTCTTTCAAAGGTGATAACTGGTGAGAATTACGACATTCTGTATCGAAAGATCTGAAAAATTCAGTGTGGTTTGTTAAAAACTTTCTTACATTAAACTGGGATAAAACTAAATATTTGTCATTTACATCATACAAGAATACTTACCTGATTTTAGCAGAATACATATTGATGACCAAGAAATCTCTTCTGTTACAAGTATTATTTAGGGATAATGATTGATGGTCACCTGCGATGGGATGTCAGGCCAGTAGTATTATAAAAAAACTTTAGTATTTTTAGTAAATTTAGAATTAAAAAAAAAATTACCCTCAAGACATTCAAATAGTATGCTTTTGTGGAATTCATACTTCACTATGGTATAATAGCGCGGGGCGGTATAAAAATGACATTTTTAATACCACTGAAAATATATTTCAATACCACTGGAAGTATTATAAAAGAGAATAATAAAAATAATGCTCAACAAAATTACGATATTTTCTACAAACCAGTTATCTAGTGTGTCTAAAATATTGAATCTAAGACAACTGCACGCAAAAATAATATTAAAACTGCTGCCAATTATTACTTGGGGATCAGAACTTTCTCACCGTAGTAAAACTAGACGTGTGGTAGAGTTTATAACAAAAGTAATTTTTGACGTTTCAAAAAAAGTCACATTGGTGATTTTGTTCATCCACGAACTCAATCTCTTCCTTGACCTCTATAATGTGTGTACTAAATTTGAAAGCTTTATCTCAAAAACTGTAGCTGCTATCGCGAACCACACAGACAGACACACACACAGACAGAAAATTTTTTTCTGTCTGAAATTTTGTGTATCGTTATAATTCATCGAGATTCGTCCAGAAATGCAATAAAAATTTTCAAAATTTTTTTCACGAATACATAACTTCCTCACTTTGAGGGGTGAAGAAGTAATATATCTGTGCACAAACGGAAATAAAACAGTACTGCCTCAACGCAGAGAGTAAAACAGGCGTTTATTCTGTTGGGATTCAAAGTCGCCATGGAAACCAATGAAAAATACAAACATAATGTAACGTCGACATTTTTATTTTGTCAAACATTTAATGGTCGAAAGAACAAAATATTGAGAATCAAACATATAAACCAAAAATTGTAACTTATTTCAAATTAAAATTAAATATTAATAGGGTAATATTTGGTAATTAGTAATATTTAGTAATCTAAACGTCAAACAAATAAATAAAAAATAATGACAATTAAATTCAAAGATACCTAGATAAACTCGGAATAAAATACTGAAGCTTTGTAGCCAATTAGTATTATTTAGTTTTTACGTTTCATTGTTTTTCAATAAAAATTGTGCCCAGTCGTGCGAAAAATGTTGTATACACCTCAGGAGTAAAGTGTGTTGTAGCCCCTTGCATGAATGTTTCACTATTTATGCCAGGACTAAAACACTCACATTATTCCCTTAGTGTATAAGTAACTATTTTAAAAATAATGAATACCTAATTTGAACATGTGCAGCATAAAACAACATAGGAAGAATACGCTTTATTTATTTGGGTCAAAGATTGTATAATAGTTTGCCCTTTAACGTTAGAAATAGTAAAAATGTGATTATTTTTAAAACACTTATTAGTAATTAGTTGACGACAAATGATAGGTGTTGTGGAAGCCACGTTTCATCTCCAGGGGCAAGTCTGTTAATAATCAGATCTGGTTTATCTCCACAAAACGCTAAGAATTGTTCACACGCCTCTATCAGAACACGCATTTGGAATCGCTAAAGCATTCGCGGAATCCATC